TGTGTGTGTGTGTGTGTGAGTGTGTGTGCGTGTGTGCGTGACTTGTGAGATAATAGTCAAATACTATTTGCATAGCTCAAGCTCCCGCTCAACAGAAAGTTCTATACGCTTTTATAATTACTCCTACAGACCTGATATATTCGGAATTACTCTCAATTGTTGGGAAGCATTCAGTGCAAGCCATCCCACAGTCGCTAAATGACTAACACACTGGTAATATATTTGATGTCTATGACCGGGTACCCATTCGTATCTGGTTGAAGTGCGGGGAATTCGTGTTAAATGCCTTTCCCATTGATTGTATTGATTGTATGTTTTACCCTTCTGTCGTACAGACTTGTATTATTTATAACTAGCTGGGTACACGTTCAATGACCGCGCTTAAAAGAATCGTTGATCATCAAGTTATTGTGGAAACAGTGCGCACAGCTTGTGAACGGAAGCCTCACTTGTTTTCACAATGGTGTCTAAGAAGACGGACTTTCCCAAAATTAGATCTAATAAACGAAACTAATGAAAAACTGAAATTTAAACTGCATTGACTTCAGGCTCCTCAATAAAACTGTGCACACTTTAAATGATTCTGAGCAACCATTAATTTTGTAAAATTCGAAAGTTAAGTGGTTCGGAAGTTTTAGGCGGCCAAAGTGACTGACTTTCACAAATATAATATATAGAGATCTATAGAGATATTATCCAAGACTGTGCACTCTATCGGTACTCCAATTCCCCCCAGAGCGCAACATTACGCTACCTTAGAATTGTAAAATCCTGTCTGAGATATTTTTAGATAATTTTGAGATAATTTACTAAGACCAAGAGGTCAGAAACCAAATGTTCCACTTGCCCTATCAAAACCGTACGTCATCAAGATATTCAAGGAACTGCATTCGAAAAAGCATGACAATTTGTGAAACTCTAATTTCTCAAAACTAGCTACTGAGTAGATAGAACTTGGTAATTCTAAGGTAGCGAAATTTGTATCTCTATTTTTAACCTAAATAGCGCCCGATGTGAAAGCTTCAGCGCGTATTTGACTGGAGTTTTGCCTTTCATTTGCGCACCCATGGTACGCCCCATTACAATTACAGGATAGTCTTTATGGAGAGCAAAGACGCCATGAAAGCCGAGCGCCCAGTCTAAGGTAGGCCTATAATTTATGTTTTTGCTCGATCGACACATTTTAGATGATATCCTGTATAGGAAGCGAACTGCTTTAGTCTTGATATCTGGGCTGACCTTGGAAGCAGTATTCAAGAAGACAGATGAAGATACTCATTATAATGATAACGTTTCCACAAGAGAATCGAGCCTGAGTCTTCAGCGTGTAATCACGAAGAGATACATGTAGATCTATATATCTACTCTGTGACAGACCCTGTGAACCACGAGTATTGCACAGTTTCAAGCTTCTTCTTCTTCTTCTTCTTCTTCTTCTTCTTCTTCTTCTTCTTCTTCTTCT